ATATATATTATATATTATATTATATATAAATATATATTATTATATATTATATATTTATATAATATACAATATGTTATATATAATATATATACATTATTTAGCCCTGAGAAGGAAGGAAATCCTGCCATTTTTGACAACGTGGATAAAACTTGAGGCATTGTGTTAAGTAAAATGTCAGACAGAAAAAGATAAATATTGTATGATAACACCTCTATATGGAATCTAAAAATGCTGAACTGTTAGAAACAGAGAGTAGAATGATTGGCTGGAGACTGGAGAATGGGTAAATGTTGGCAAAGGGTATAAACTTCTAGTTATAAGATGAATAGATCTGGGGATCTAACATACAGCATAGTGATCATAGATAACAAGACCATATTACCTAGTTGAAAGTTGCTAAGAGAGTAGATCTTATGTGTTCTCACTACAAATAAGAAATGATAAGTAAGTGATGTGATGGAGTGGTAGATCATTTTACAATATATAAGCATATCAAATCCACACATTGTACACCTTAAACTTACACAATGTTATATCAATTATATCTTAATAAGGCTGGAAAACAATATATTACACATATAATTTCATATATTACACACATGTATTTTTTCCAGCTTGCAAAAATTTTGAAATAGATCAATTATATCTTAATAAAGCTTAAAATATATATTAACACACATTTTCCATATTTATTAATATATATTAATTATATAAGCAATTAATATAATAAAAAATGTTATATACAGAGAGACTAGAAGAGAGCATGGGAAGAATAGGAGCACACAGTAAGTATCTTAGAGCTCAGACAGAAGAGGAGATCTGTCAGCCAAGAGCCCAGGGCAGGTTCTCCAGGAGAAGGTGGTTATTGAGTGTAAATATTGTGGAGAAATATTAAATGCTCTCAGAAATGAAGAAGTTGACTTTCCCCTAAGAGGAGAAAAAGGGGAAACCTGTGGACACTGGGTTCCCAATAGGCTAGGAAGCTGGGAAGAAGCTGGATAGCAGTGAAGATTTGAACCTTGTTTTGATATTCTAAACTCCAAATACAGTCTCCTTCAGTACACAGATAGAGCTTATTTTTAAAAACTATGAAACTTTCATCTATAGTTTCAGTGATATATAATCAACCGCATTAATATAAAGAAGGGAAAATTACATGATACTCTCAACTGAAAGAGAAGAGACATTTTACAAATGCACCACGTTCATGAAACTAGCAACAGAAAGAACTTCCTCAACATGATTAAAGGTATCTATGAAAAATACACCACTATCATCATATTCAGTGGTGAAAGAGTGAAAGCTTTCTGCCCAAGATCAGGAATAAGACAAAAATGCAACTGTCATTATTGCTGATCGACATTGCACTGGAAGTTTTAGCCAAAGCAATTAAGCAAGAAAAAGCCATCTAAATTGGAAAGAAAGAAATAAAATTCTGTCTTTTTGCAACTGACATGATCCCATGTAGAGAAATTCCCCAAGAATCCACACAAAAAATTAGTAGAGCTAATAAACAAATTCACCAAAGTTGCAAAGCATAAAAATAACACACAAAAATCAACTGTGTTTCTATACATCAACAGTTAGCAATCCAAAAGCAAAATTAAGAAAACAATTCAATTTATAATAAGATACAAAAAGATAAAATATCTAGGAATAAATGTAACCATGAAGGTGAAAAACTTGTGCACCAAAAACATTGCTGAAAGAGATTAAGGAAGACCTAAATAAATTAAAAGACATCCCATATGTGTGGATTGGAAGATCTAGGGTGTTAAAATGGTGATGCAATGGAATCCCACATAAAATTCCAATGGCTTTTTTTTTTTTTTTTTTTTTTTTTTTTTTTTTTGCAGAAATGAGGAAGCCAAACCTCAAATTCACATGGAATTTCAAGGGGCATGCCATATACACAAAAACATATTGATAAAGTACTACAAATTGGAGAACTCACATTTCTCAATTTCAAAACTTACTACAAAGCTACAATAATGAAGAGTGTGGTACTTGCATGAGGACAGACATATAGATTAACAAATAAAATTGAGGGGTGCCTGGGTGGCTCAGTGGTTGAGCGTCCAACTTCGGCTCAGGTCATGATCTTATGGTCCGTGAGTCCGAGCCCCACATCAGGCTCTGTGTTGACAGCTCAGAACCAGGAACTTGCTTCAGATTCTGTGTCTCCCTTTCTCTCTGCCCCTCCCTTGCTCACACTCTGTCTCTCTCTCAAAAATAATAAACATTAAAAACAAAAACAAATAGAGTCGAGAGTCCAGAAATAAACCCACACATCTATGGCCAATGATTTTTAACAAGGGCATCAAGACCAAGAATAGTCACATCAACAAATGGTATTGAGACCATTTGCAAAAGATATCTAAATGCAAAAGAATGAAACTGGGCCCCTATATCACACCATATACAAAAGTTAATTCAAGGTTGATCAATGATTTAAATATAAGAGCTATAAAATTCTAAGATGAAAGTGTAGAGGTAAATCATCATGACCTTGTATTAGGCAAGAAATAGCATCAAAATCATAGCAACAACATCAACAAAATAGGTGAGGTGGACTTCATCAAAGTTAAGAACACTTGTGCACCAAATGACTATCAAAAAGGTGAAAAGACAACACATAAAGCGGTAAAATATATTTGAAAAATATATGTTTGATAAAAGTCTAATGTCTGGAATATAAAAATAACTCTTCCAATTCAAAGAAGATAACCCAGTGACAAAGTTGCAAAGGACTTGAACAGACATTTCTCCAAGGAAGAAACAGAAATGGTCAGCAAGCACATGAAAAGATGCTCAACATCATTAGTTATTAGGGGAATGCAAGTCAAAACCACAAGTAAATACCACTTCACACTCCCAGGGATGACTATAAACAAAGGAGGAGGAGGAGGAGGTGGAGGAGGAGGAGGAGAGGAAGAAGAAGAAGAAGAAGAAGAAGAAGAAGAAGAAGAGAGGGAAGAGAATAAGAGTTGGCAAGGATGTGGAGAAATTGGAACTCCTATGCATTAGTGATAAAAAATGTATGTTAAATAGTTCAACAACTGTAGAAGCAGCCTGAAATTTCCTCAAAAGTTAAACATATAACCCATCAATTCCACTGCTAGCTATTATACCCCAAAGAATATGTATATATACATATATACGTATATATGTATATCTATATATACTAAAAAGAAGTGAAAATAGGTGCTAAAAAAATTACTTGTACACAAACATTTGTAGTGCACTATTTGCAATCACCAAAGGATGGAAACAACCCAAATGTCCATCAACAGATGAATGGATAAGCAAGTTGTGGCATATACATGCAATGGAATATTATTCAGATATAAAATGAATAAAGTACTGATACATACTACAATGTGAATGAACCACAACAACCACAGAGATAACACTCCTCACTTATTTTGGCAAAAATTCAAAAACACGACCATACAGTCTGTTACGGGAAACACCCATGCTCACATGGTTGGTGGCAGTACAAAATAGTATAAACTTTATGGAGTAGAATTTAGTGATATCTAACAAAAGTACGTATAAATTTACCCTTTTAGGCAACAAAAATACCTACAAACATTTACCCTGATATTACACCTTCAACAATACAGAAAATATGCATATGGTTGTTCACTGAAGCATATTTGTAATAGCAAAATCTTGGAAAATACATAAATGCCCATTGAAAGGAGATTGGCCAAATGACTAAGTTTGTGTGTACATGGTAGTGTAGAACACAGCTGTAAAAAAGGAGAAATTGCTACGAGCTGCCTTAGGGTAATTTTCAGGATATATTGGTTTTTTTTTTAATTTTTTTTTCAACGTTTATTTATTTTTGGGACAGAGAGAGACAGAGCATGAATGGGCGAGGGGCAGAGAGAGAGGGAGACACAGAATCGGAAACAGGCTCCAGGCTCCGAGCCATCAGCCCAGAGCCCGACGCGGGGCTCGAACTCAGGACCGCGAGATCGTGACCTGGCCGAAGTCGGACGCTTAACCGACTGCGCCACCCAGGCGCCCCAGGATATATTGTTAAATGAAAACAACAAAGTGCAAGTGAGTGTATTTGTGCGAGGAAAAAAAAGGAAATTAAAGATTCGGGTAACTAATTATCTTTATCTTACACAAAATTTCCCACATATTTGATAAAGTCTGCTCTTCAGCACATTCTATGAGGTTAGTGCAAACTTACTACAAAACCAAGCAAGGACAGTATGAGAAAGGAAAGTTACAGGCACAGTTCTCTTATGAATATAGATATAAAATCCCTTAAAAATTGGAAACTGAACCAAATGATATGAAAAATGATAATATAAAATGATCACATTAGATGACTAGAGAAATGCAAGAATGGTTTAATGTTAGAAAATCTGAAATGTAATTCAACACATTAACAGAAAAAAGCAAAAATATAACTTCACATAAATTAAGGAAAATTTTCTTGTCAGGAATGAAAGAGAACTTTCTGGACCTGATAAAAGATGTTTATGAGAAACCTAAAACAGATACTACCCTAAAAGGGGAAATTCAAGAAGCTTTTATTTTTACTTACTTACTTACTTACTTACTTACTTACTTATTTTAGAGAGAGAGAGTAAGTGCATAAGTGGGGGAGTGGGGGAGTGGGGCAGAGAGAGAGAGAGAGAGAGAGAGAGAGAGAGAGAGAGAATCTTAAGCCCACACAGGGCTCGATCCCACAACCCTGGGATCATGACCTTAGCCAAAATCAAGAGTTGGACACTCAACTGACAGAGCCACCCAGATGCCCCAAAAAGCTTTCGTTTTAAATCAGGTGTCAGACAAGAATATGCACATCCTCACTTCTATACAATAATGTATAGAGGCCCTAGTCTGCACAAGAAGGCATTAAGAATGGCATAAAGTTTTTTTTTATATTTTTTTTAATGTTTATTTATTTTTGAGAGAGACAGAGACAGAATGTGAGTGGGTTAGGGGCAGAGAGAGAGGGAGACACAGAATCTGAAGCAGGCTCCAGGCTCTGAGCTGTCAGCACAGAGCCCGACACGGGGCTCGAACTCACAAGCTGCGAGATCATGACCTGAGCTGAAGTCAGTCGCCTAACCGACTGAGCCACACAGGCGCCCCAAGAATGGCATAAGTTTAAAGAGAAAAATACAATTGTCATCATTTGCAGATGATGACCACCCAGAACACTGCAAGGAACACACCAAGAAATTAAGATGAACAGGGGGAGAATTTAGCAAGATAGCTAGTAACAGATCAATACACGAAAGTCATTTCTCTACATTAGCAACAGACAGAAAGAAATAACCAAAAAGTTGCCATACTGCTTACAATTTTATTTTAAAAGTCCAAGTCTCTAGGAATAAATATAACAAAGACATGCCAGAACTCTACATGGGAAGAATTGTTAAAATTTTGCGAAAGGACAGCAACAAGATGGATGAGAGACATAACAAGTCCAAGATTAGGGGATAAAATGGGTGTGAATTTGAAAACACTACCTGTCCCTGGGGTGGGTGTGGTTGGGAGGCACTTGGATGTGTCACTGGAATACACAATGAATGACCATGCCTTTAATTTGCCCTCTCTTTCTCTCTTCTCGTTTGAGCTGTGCCTGGTCAAACCCAGCAGTCCTCAGCCAGGACTTACCAACTCATCCTGCCAGCAGCATGAAGCCTGTGCTGTTTCTTCAACTTCTGCTGTTGATTCACTTAGCACCTCAGCGGGTGTCTGGGAGTCCCAAGCAACATTTTCTGAGTACGTGTTGGGTCTGGGCTCCAGGGAGGGAAGCAGCATTTGTAGAGATGAGAGGATCTGAGGGCTGAGGATACACATTGTGAAAAAAATATAGTATCATGTTCAAAGGTCCAAGAGTTATTGTCAGTAAGATCCAGGTTTGAATCCCTACTGTGTGCTTACTGAGTGGTCTTGGACAGAAGTATCTGGGACTCAGATTTTATCTTTGCAATTGATACAATGATCTTGGGACAGTTGGGAGGAGAAACTGAGATAATGCATGCACACAGAGTGCACTCTTACTGGACCATGGTAAATGCTCAATAAGAATTAACTACCGCAAATGTTATCAGCCTCATCATCCAGGTTATTCTTGCTGCCTAAGTTCCTTCACGGATGCATGCGCCAACTTTTCAAGCTTTAAAACAGAGAGGAAAATTACATTGGTAGAACTCGAGCCGTCACCTACATAATCTCTGCCTTGGAGAATGTTTTGGGAGGGAAGGAGAGAAAGCCTTACATTTTATTCCACATTTTTTTAAGTTTATTTCTTTGTTTTGAGAAAGAGAGGGACAGAGCACAGGTGGGAGAAGGGCAGAGAGAGAGAGGGAGAGAGAGAAAGAGAGAGACAGAGAGAGAGAGAGAATCCCAAGCAGGCTCTGCTCTGACAGCACAGAGCCCAACACAGGGCTCAAACTCATGAACGGTGAGATCATGACCTGAGCCAAAATCAAGAGTCAGACACTCAACAAGTGAGCCACCCAGGTACCCTTATTCCACATTTTAAATATTCAGAGGGACCTGCACAATTGCCACTGACTGTCATCAATGGCAAAGTACAGAGTCCATCTCAGCAGCCACCATTGCCCAGCTCAACCTAACAAGAGTGCTGACCATGTTATGTTGACTTTGACCAATGCCAAATGGGAAATGAACTATTATCCATCATACCTGCACCCTTCTATGCAGAGAGCATCCTCAGAATACTGAGGCTCAGAAGAGGGATGTGAGTACTATCTCAGGTGTACAGGGAGGGAAGATCCTGTTTTAGGGGTCTCAGAGAGGGCACGCAGATTTGTAAGACTGAGGGAGGCTAAACTAGATGCAAGAGAATGGGGGAATCCAGGGTAGAGTTAATTGGAGAATAAACAACTAAAATTTTTTTAATTTTCTTATGTTTATTTATTTGTGAGAGTGAGAGAGACAGAGCACGAGCTGGGGAGGGGCAGAGAGAGAGGGAGACACAGAATGCGAAGTAGATTCCAGGCTCTGGGCTGTCAGCACAGAGCCCCACGCAGGGCTTGAACTCACAGGCCACAAGATCATGACCTGAGCTAAAGTTGGACGCTTAACAGACTGAGACACCCAGGGGCCCCTCAAGGACTAAAATTGGAAAGGAAATACAAAGAGGGGTCCTGAAAGACTAGTAAGTCTTTATGAGTAAAACGGGGACCAGATACCCAGAAAAGGAGGCAAAACTTGAGAAGATCTGCCTCTCTGAGATCCCTGGCTCACAGACTCCTTCCCCACACTGTTCCATTGATTCCCCAAGCTCCCCCAAAGTGGGGGCCAGTTCCAATTTCTTGCACTGAACTAATGAGCCATGGGATGACTTGGAGACCCAGGGTGAGCTTCATACTGGTCTCTGCCAAGTTGTCAATAGCTTGGGCCTTGGCTTTTTCCTCTGGTGCCATTTGCTGTTACAATTATAGCCCCCAACTTCATCATCATTTGTTCCTTCCAGGTCGGTATGATATCTTATGGATCCCCTCCTAATTGCAAATACTTGCAAAGGAATAAGTCAACAGGGGTTTATAGAATGCTCCACCTATGACATTTGCCCTGAGAAAGGGCAAGTCACAAGGTACAAAAATTAAGGCCTGGCCTGGCTTCAATAAAGGGGTTTATGGTGCCTATTCTTAATGCCATGGAGTTCAAGAACAGAAAGAAGATTGTGAATTGGAGCCCTGCAGTAGGATCTCCTGGTGTAGGTGGTCTGGACTTTGACCCAAGAACTAAGAGATGGGAGAAATGGGATGTTAGCATGAAGATTCTTATTCTTTTCTAACAGTACAAAGTGGGGGCATCCTGGTTCTCTGGCTTCCTTATCAGAAGAGACCTGGGAGGAAAGAAAAGCCAATCTTTGTACCCCATTCTGAAATGCCCACCCTCAACTCCATGAAATAAGTCGCCCTCAGAACTCATTTGTGATTTGGGTTCTAGCATTCTGATGCCAGTATCATCAGTTTACTGTGTGGTCTTCGCCCTTTCCCAAAATCTTCCTTCCCACTCATTCTTCCTACACACAAATAATACATGTTAGGTCAACCCTGAGATAAACTATGTTGTTAATGAAAGTTTGTACAACTTGTTTGGGGCTATGCAATGAGTCAGTGCAAATGCACCTACACACCCCTCTCTTGCTCACCACACACTGTTCATTCCCTTGAACCGGACCCAGCCAGGGTCTATAAGATATCTGATCTGCAAGGAGGTGAATCACCAGTGGGTGTAGGGTTCTGCCTACCTCTGTCTTCAATCAGATACCCAGAGTTCTTGGTTTTCCCTGCTGAGAACTCAGAGAAAGGCAGGAGCTACAGACAAAATCTGATTCCACTTCCCTATAACCACAGGAGAAAGATCAGGGTGGCTGATTGCCTGGAAGTTCCTTAGGCTTTTGGAGTTCCGAATGTTACTCCAGCCTACTTTAAGCCCTTCTCTTTCCTGTTCTGTGTTCCAGGGAGTATCTTGGAACCGCCACCCTGCAAATCAGACCCTGAAAATTGTACTCATTTCTGTACATTGCAGGAAGACTGCCATAAAGGATTTCAGTGCTGTTCTGCCTTCTGTGGGATAGTCTGTACTCTAAACATAAATATAAACCATGACAGGTAAGGGGATTCTCATTCCCAGTTCTGATCCAGCTGCCATTTGGGAATTCAACAGAAGAGTTTCTTACCAGCCCCTACAGTGGAACTATTTTTTGAACATTCACCTTCTCTTTACCAACAATAATTTCCTTAAATGTCCTGACAAAAAGAGCCTTCCTCCACTCCCAAACTTGTCTCCTCATCACCACATCTGTGAATCTCTGAATATGCCTCTCTGAACTCACCCAAAAACCCATCCACAGACCCTGCCTTGTCCCAGAATCCACTTTTATCCAGAAGCCTGGGACATTATATCTGCAAGTCTCACCCAAATCTCAAAGTCAATCTGTTTTTTCTGGTTTTGCTTTCCCTCTTTCATCCAACACCAACCTTTGGCTCCCAGTGTTCCTGGGCACTGCACATCCTCCAGCCTGAGCAAAACTTTGGTTATTTGCTGAGGCATTAACGCTGGCCCCAAGTCTGCTGAATGGAAGTGCTTCCAGAGCAGAGAAAGGGCATTAAAGAGCTATGAGACATCTGGTTTTCTAATTCTATCTTCCAACTATGTCTTTCTATGACCTTGAGCAAGACATGTTTGCCTTTCCTATGTTCGTCTTTGTTTTTCTCATGCATGAGATAAAGACTCTTTAATTCAGCCTTACGAGATTGCTATAAAGACCCACAAGGCAAGAGACTCAACCAGTGACCTTCTAAGCTGTCTTGTTTACTGCTGTATTCCCTGCCCTGAGCACAATACCCAACATAGGACACAAGGAACAGAGTGATGAAGTAGGGGCCCAGAGCCAGATACCCAGACCCAAATCCTGGCTCTATCACCTCTTAGCTGAGTGATCTCAGACAACTTAATCAACCTCTCTCCGGGCATCAGCTTCCTCATCTTTAAGACTGGAACAAGACTGAGATTAAATTAGATAACCCATGCAAGCTCTAAAAACGTTACTCATGACAGATTAATTACTCAGTAAATTTTGCAATTAGGCAACCACTTCTTTCTTAAGAGGTGGGCCTTTGCAGTGAAACTTCACATGTTTCCAGGCTCTAAAGTGGAATGCAGAAGCATAAGTAAGACTTTTTGTTGTCACTTGGTTCTTTGAGGTTCTGCTTTCTCTATGGCAGGAAAATTTAGCTTTATGGTCTAGTTTTAATGATGGAAGTAATGGAAAAATTAAATAACTATATTTCTTTTTTAAATTTTTTTAAAGTTCATTTATTTATTTTGAGAGAGAGAGAGAAGCAGAGAGAAAAGGAGAGAGAGAATCCCAAGCTGAGTCCACTGCCAGCATGGAGCCCAACCCAGGGTTTGAACTCACGAACCAGGAGATCATGACCTGAGCTAAAACCAAGAGTCAGACATGTAACTGGCTGAGCCACCGAGGCACCCCTAAATACCTACATTTCTAAGAACAAAACTTAACCAGAGAATATTTGAAAATATTTTTCTTCTACAGAACCAAACACAGGAACATAAGAAACATCATGGCTGGTAAGTGAGGCATGTTTCTCAGAGCATTTTGTAAGTATGGGGGTTTGGCCTGAGATTCCCAGCACAGCCTTTTCCAGTTTTCCTCCTCTAGCCTCTCCAATATTCCTGCAATGTCAGAATAGCCTTTTGTCATCCCAGCTTCACCCTTCTCCATTACTCCCCGCACACACACCGCCACCGTTTACGCTCTCATTCCCTGGAGCGGGATGTGGTCCAGGGTGAGTTCTACCTCACAGAGCAACATAAGGAGGCAGAGTCATGGCCCCAGGGGAACACAGGGCCCTCACATCTGAGCCATTGCCAAGGATCAGGTTCTGCCAGCCTGAGGGTTAATGATGTCCTAGGCAGGAAGTCAAGCTGAGCCCTTCACACTCTGTGTGGCCTTAGTTTCCTCACACCTCTGAGACCATCAGCTTCCTCATGTGAGAGATGAAGAGAACATCCATGTGTCAGGTTTTGCGAGGATTACATGAAGCCACGTGGAATGGAAGAACTTGATCGTTGCAAAGGGTCTGCAAAGGTTAGAAGCTGCCAGCAACCCACTCTTTATGGGTTTCAGATTTTGCCTCTTAAAAAAAAGGGGGATCATCTTTATTATTTTACAATGTTACAAGAAAGCTGAGCAAAATAGAGTCCTCTGTAGCTCCACCACCAAAACAAAGCTACAATTTATAATTTGGTGGATTTTGTTTTAGACTGGAAAAAGAGGAGGACCTTAGGGTCTTCTAACAGTCCTTCGGAAGTCACCAGAGTTTCCAAGGGTTATTTCAGCTTATACAGTCCTTTCATTAACCCTGTACAAAGGAGTTTGATAAATGGTGAGAAGTGGAGTCCAGTGGAGGAATTTACATGCATGAATACCACCTTGTTCAGACCCTGGTGAGTCAGCCATGCTAACTCCTCTGCACCTTGTAGATGATTAGGCACTCTGACCACACCCTGGCTCTCCTTCAGTGCATCCGCATTGTCACGTAATCCACGGCCTGCACAGTGGGAAGATACTGAGCCTGTAATAAGAACCCAGGGGTTCTATCCAGGTGAGAGGTAACAGAAGGTGGCTGGTGCAACTATATAGAGCCTTTTTATTGCAGTTTCAGGGTTGTGTGGCTACAGGTATATGAGCCGTAGCAAGCCTCATCTTAAGCATTGCCCAGAGAGACAAGACTTCATCTTCGACTAGCAGAAAAACACTGCCATAGACCTGAGTGTGTCTTCTATAGAAATAGACATCCCCATCCTGTTATCTTCTGGTAGGCTCAGCTAAGACTGTGCCCTTTGATGTACTGCATTAACTGTGGTATCTGTTAGATCCCCATGTCAGAATGTTTGCTCTCCCCAATCCTGCAGCCTGTCCTCTGGAGAACCGTTCCCCTCGACTGGCCACTACTGCTCTGGAGGAGCTGGTGTTGGCTGGGAAGCTCAAGTGAGGAAGGAGATAGCAGTGCCAGTGTGGACCTGAGAAAAATGCTCATCTTATTCCCAGAAAGTGCTGTGTTCAGCTGCCTATGGCGGTAAAATGGGCAGAACAGCCCCGGCATACCTTGCCAGTGTCTTCCATATAATCTGGGCTCTGGTGGGCGTGGCCAAGGGCTTCCAACTTTTTAAATGTGAGCTAATGTTTTAGCCATGCTTCACTTCATTTGGTCCCCATAGCAGCCATTATACCCAGTTTACAGGCAAGGAAACTGAGGATCATAAAGTCACATGCACAGCATTAACCAACGGGTCAGTGGTGGAGCTAGTATATAGGAATGTAAGTGCTTTAGGTCCTAGCTGCTCTGGGACTCAGTCCAGCTTTGTCCCTGCTGGCCTGGGGGAGCTGGGCATTTCCAACTCCTTGGGGCCTCAGTCTCTTCATTTATAAGTGGAGCTGAATAACACCTACCTTCGGGAGTGTCATGAGACCAAATGAGATGATGCAGGTAAAGCATGTACCACAGCACCTGATAGAGAGTCTGAGGAGAAGGTTACCATCATTGTTCACGTCTTCTCAATCCTTCTTTTATCCAAAATTCTTGTTTTAGAAAAGAATCAAAGTGTATCTTCCATCTGAAACTCTATGTTTTTAAAAAATTTCTCTAGGTTCCAAATAAATTAGCTCCCAGAGAAGATAAGCGGCATGTCTCTGACCTTGGAAACATCTAAGACGGAATCAAGCATAGTTGTGGAAAGTACTCCATCCCTGAGAGATAATATAATTAAACCACGTGATGAAGAACCAGATAATTCAACAATGATCTTCGTTCCTCTACTAAGCCTCCAGCAACTAGGGAAGATGTTTCTTCCCCTGCAAATCCCATGGGAATGTGCCAACTTGGAAATTTGTGGTCACCTAGTCCCACGATACCACTCCCGCAACCACATCCCATCCAAATGAACTTATTCCAAGATAAATTTATCACAATTCCATGTTGCACTCTTCTCTTCTGTTTCCCCCTTTCTAATCCAGCTGATCTCTGGTGACCCCTGACCCTGAGCTGGAAACATTGTTCAAAAACTCTACAGGCTCCTTCACTGCCACGAGCTGACCTGATGTGGTTCAAGGTGACTTCTCACACTAAGAGTGGCCGGTTCAAACTATAACTACCACTGTTTGAATCACCTGAGTTTGTTCTGTCCCTTACAAGAACACTGATCACAGGAGGCGATTTAAAGGTGAATTTATATTGGGGCGCCTCAGTGGCTCAGTCGGTTGAGCATCCAACTTTGGCTCAGGTCATGATCTGGAAGTTCACAAGTTCAAGCCCCACATTGGGCTTTGTGCTGACAGCTCAGAGCCTCGAACCTGCATTAGATTCTGTGTTTTCCTCTCTCTCTGTCTCTCTCCCTCCCTCTCTCTCTCTCTCTCTCTCTCAAAAATGAATTTAAAGGGGCGCCTGGGTGGCTCAGTCGGTTAAGCGTCCAACTTCAGCTCAGGTCACGATCTCACGGTCGGTGAGTTCAAGCCCCCCGTCAGGCTCTGGGCTGATGGCTAGGAGCCTGGAGCCTGCTTCCGATTCTGTGTCTCCCTCTCTCTCTGCCCCTCCCCCGTTCATGCTCTGTCTCTCTCTGTCTCAAAAATAAAAATAAACATTTAAAAAAATGAATTTAAAAATTTAATATACATATATAAATTTATATTAATTACAACTCAGTAAAATGAAATATTCCATCAGCTCCCTAGTCTCACTAATCACATTTCAAGTGCTCAATAACCGCCCTTCACTTGTAGCTACTGTACTGAACAATGCAAACAGAACATTTTCAACATGGTGGAAAGTTCTATTGGAAACGTTGCTTTGAGTTATATAGAGCTAATGTCTAAATAATAACGGAAAAATAAAGATCATGATGTCAGAGAATTTTACAAGGGTTTACTATTATAGAAGTGTTTATTTTACATTTAATGTATTAGCATTTAGTTCCAATTACTTGTAAGGAAGTAAAATTTGAGGATATGTGCTAATTGTCGAAGCATGTATTTGAACTTTTTACTCTGCTATAGTATAACAGTGTAATATGAAAAGAACCTGAGGTAGGGACAGGCAGTGAAGACATTGGGAAAATGAAGGTCTTCTATCTCATAGCCACCCACACTGCGGATTTTCCAACTGAAGGAATTGGGAGTGATACAGGAATGGGCCCATGTTTTTGGAGAATTAGATGAGTGTTGGACTGGAAGGCCCACAGCCATCAAACCAAGTGAAAACTGTTACTAAAAGTGGTGTGGATAGATAGTCATCAATATTACCTATAAATGTAAAATATTTGAATCAACTTTAATTTTCAACAATAGGAGACTAGTGATGTAGATTATGATAGATCCCTGGTGTGAAACAAATGTACTTATGACAGGCTGTGAAATGGAACTTTGTCCTTTGTCTCATAGATTTTAGCTGAGACTTTGTAGCTACAGACAATTATCGACGAGTGCCCACCCATTCTAAAGAGAAGTGTGAAATACCTGAAGATGAAAGTATTTACAAGTGGCCACAGTGGGTCCAATGGCCACCCTTAACCTCTAGCCATCCAAGAGAAGGTTAGATCTTTAATGTAGAGAGGGTTCGTGAACATGCTTTTGGAAGAGGTGTCATAGAACTAAGGAATGCTGTGCTCCCCTCCACCCTGCCTAATGAGAGGCTTTAGAGGAATCAACCATTCACAGGTGAGTTGAATCTTCTGCCCGAAGAGACATTGACATTCCAACCCCAAGCTGGGTGCAGATGAACTTCAGGAAGAGGAGATCCCCTACCCTGCTGCTGTCCAAGCAGAGCATATAAGAGTGCTTAGAAGAGATTGAGGTGTGTCCTCTGAGGTTGAAAGGCATAGAGACTATTGTCTAGATGATGAGAGGTGATGGGAGATGTCTTCCCATCCAGAGTCTGAAAAAGCTAGGAAGCCTGAGGCTTTTTGTGAGCCAAGGAAATAACAGAAGTATCCAGGCTTGGGACATCTAGGAAAAACTTCAGCAAGAAGGCTACGAGCTGTGGATACCTTGAGTGTGTGTTGCCAGGGGCAGTTATAGAAGAAGTTAGCATAAAGTGCTTCACCTCATCAGGGAATGCTGCAGTCTGGAACTGAAAATGGCCCTCGGACTAGGGGGATGGGTAGGGACATGCCTTAAGAAAGGCTAGATTAGAAATCTTCCAAAGACTCATCAACCCAAGATTCCCAGTTCCCCTTCTGTCTTACCACAGATCTTTCTTCTAAGGCTCCAAGAATGTCCCCAACAATGGCAATTGTGTTCTACCAGTTTGGGGTTTTTTTGTTTTGTTTTTGTGTGGTTTTTTGGGTTTTTAGTATCCCAGGGCAGAATTCCTCTACCAAATGTCAAAAAACCGTACCTAGTTTATGGAATAAGACTGCCAAGTGGCCATTTTGTGCTTCTTATTTCACTGAACAAATCAAAAGAAGTTGCCCTGTTGGCTGTAGTGATCAGTCACCATTACAAAGGAGAAATAAGACTGCTACTCAACAGTGGAGCAGGAATTAGAGCTAGAACACAGGAACTTTCTAGGTCTGGCATAGTAGAAGATAACAGCAACCAATACAGACAGAGCCATGAAGAGCTCACACGCTTCAGAAATGAGGATTTGGGGGGTGCCTAAGGGGCTCAGTCGGTTAAGCGTCTGACTTTGGCTCAGGTCATGATCTCACGGTTGGTGAGTTCGAGACCCGCATCGGGCTCTGGGCTGACAGCTTAGAGCCTGGAACCCGCTTTGGATTCTGTCTGTGTCTCCCTCTGTCTGCCCCTCTGCTGCTTGCACTCTGTCTGTTGCATTGTCTCAAAAATAAATAAAAACATTAAAAAAAATTTTTTTAAAGAAATGAGGATTTGGAACATTCTACCAGGTGAGAAAAACAACAACATTAATCAGCTGATGCATTGCTGGCTGAAAGCAAGGGAATGTGGATGAATAGTGTGAGGAGGAAGTCAAAAATATCAGCCATGACTTTCTGATGAGAAAAGAGGACCATAATTTTCTCTTCCTTGCTATACTATGGATGTTTATAAATATAAATGTCATTAATATTGTATGTGTGTGTTTATTTTAGTTATTTTCCATCTCCCATGTTCTTCTACTATTTTATATTATGTGAGCAGGTAATATTTACATTAGAATTTTTTGCATGGGTGTTTTAGTCAGCATTGTTCCGTAACAATCCCCCACCAGTAAATCTCAGTGACAGCAACAACAAAAGTTTATTTCTCTCTCACACATAAGCAGGAAAATAGATGTCTAACTAGTCTAAACTGGATTTGACTGAGCTTAGATCCAGGCCAAGGGTAGAGTCAACTTTTGATCCTTGTGTCTCTCATTCTTCTTGGACCAATTGTTTCTCAAGAAACACTCTTCTTGTGGCAAAATGCAGAGCTCAAAAGAGGAAATCCAACCTGCAAGCATATTTCAAGCCTGATATTATTCTTTGACTAAAGCAAACAAAAGGATCAAGTCCAAAGTCAAAGACCTAGAAAATACAGAGGGAGTACAGTCTGTCCACCTGGAGGCCATTGGAAGAGGGTCGATCTATAATAATGGATTTGAGGGGCACCTGGGTGGCTCAGTCGGTTAAGTGCCTGACTTCGGC